CCAAGGACATTTGTGGCAATGTGGAGTAGTGCTTAAGGTGTCGAGATTATACTCTGCACTGTCATGGTACAAGTCACGCTGAGAGAACTGATGAGACCAAGGTGAGGTCGAAACTAGTCTAGACTAGATAAGAATAGCTTTCAGAATACTATACTGTGCGAAATTTAATGGGAAAATAAGGTCTATTCATATAATTGCGAGAAAATTCAACTAATTGTTCATCATCATCGTAAAGGAAACAGGGGAAACACATCTCAGTATGTCGAGAAGACTTTCTATACAATTCGATCGAACATTAGTAAATTATGACAAGTGTACGAGTGGATAAAGATTAATGTATGGCATAAAAATATGTATTCTGGATAATTAGGATGTAAGGATGCAAAAAGATTCAGAAAACCTGCAGAAAATGAGTCCCGATCACGAAACGGAATAAAATTTAGCCAGTCATATGTCAAGGTCCTAATTTGCTAGGGAAACTTTAGTTCAGATATAAGTAGTTCGGTCTCGTTGTGACAATTTGGTAATAGTGACAGAGACCTAGATGAAGGCACGTTGTCCACAGTCCTAAGTTAAAGTGGCCATGATAATTTCAATTATTGGGCCGTGGACTTGGTACATTCCTAGGCATCTAGCTCAAATCGCCATTGAGTCTTGCCAATATAGCCCACATCACTATCACGTTTAACTTGCTTATTTTCACCTACTTCAGAATTATGCCCGTTTGAGGCTTAATCAAATCCACTCAAAGGGACAACTCTTGAGTAGGTGAAAATGAGCAAGTTAGATGTTTTAATAGTTAAGACGGCGCAGAGGTAGAGATGCTAGGACATAAGGATAGATTCAACAATTGTTCAGCACAAAGTTGGTTAACTTGATGAACCTGGCTTGTCTCTTTTGACGAGTTGTAATTTGATTCTAAAAGCAGCAAGGTTCAATGACGAAGCAGATTACGATGCCAGCGAAATGTCTGCGAACGTATGAAGCCTAAGGTTTGACGGTTGAAAATATTATGGAAAATATTACAGAGGACCACGAACAAGGTGAGCTCATATAAGTCTATATGAGGTATTCTTGGAGCTGGGGTTGTAGATTTGTTCGAATAGTTCCTCGGCGCACCGCCCTGCGACCCCGATGAATCCTTGCTAAGCTTACGTCTGTCATGTGATGGACATTGTCAGAGCAAGATGCCATGGCTAATGACAATTCACTAAAAACATGAAGGCAAAAAAAGTGGCCGGCTTTACACTTACTTCCTTCTTATATTCAAATTTGGTCCACTTATGTATCTCACGTTTTGGTTGGATATCTTTTGCTTTGCCTCTATATTTGCTCATAAGTTAAGTGACTGAGGATGACAAGTGAACTGGTTACAGATGAAGCGTGAAATGGGTACAATTGAAACGGAGCAGCTGCATCCTCACCTAAAAAACTTATGCCTTTGATCCTGTAATGTTACCGCATGTGATTTCGTCCCATTGCACACGTGTTGTGTGAGTGCATTGCTCTTGATTTAAGTGTAATGCGATAGTCAAAACCAAAATCCAGCCTAATTAAGCCTCCTCATGCTCGGTGGTACTTTTCGTTCCCCTCCTCTCTCTAAACCTATTCAACAGCCACAAGTAGTTTCCGCTTAACTTCCTAACCTCATTACCTCTTTTCAAGGTGTTGGCCGTTTTGTTTATTTCAATCGCTTCCCTAATCTTTCACCTACTAGTTCGTATAGTCTCCATATCCATCTAACCGTTTGGCATTAGACCAATCTATCTGGTTTCCTGGGCAAGCCATGTTTCGGCTAATTCCAATTTTCGGACCCACATCCCCTTACAGGCTATTTTGTGTTCGAATAACCCCTTATGTATGGATCTACAGGCCTTTCCCACATAGGCATGCTCATGGACACAAAATGTTGTAACAGCCCGATCTGGAGAGCGGGTCAGAGTATTCTCGAAAATAAGGTAATTCCGAGGACAGTGTTATTTTCTCTTTATAGATGGTCATGATGTCCTACCTCAGTAATTAATCTATCTTCTTCGACAGATTACACAATAGTGAAGTGGTTTATTTTTTTATCTGGCCCCAAATATGTATTTTCCTTTATTCTATTTTACAATATTCTAAAATAGTTGTCAACCAGCCCTCCTGAATAATTATTTTCAACCAGAATTCGCCTTAGTCTCCTAAGTTCATGGTATCGCCACATCCTCCGGTGGAACCAACTTACGAATAGCTTCCACTCACCTGTTCAAGCGAAATGAAAGGGACTCTAACATTAATCAATTATGGGATGCTTCTGGTGGAACTCATAAGTTTTACCGACCATCTTTTAGAAGAGACGAGAAGTGATATTTAATTACAAATCGTTCCTTTAATTAATAGTCATGCAGAAATAACAACTAAGAACAAATGAGTGAAAAACATCACAATGAAACTGGACGATAAAGAACAAATGGTGTTAAGGGCAGATAAAGGAGGAGCAGTGCTAGTTATGGACAGGTAGAGCTATGTAGAAAAAATGATGCAGGCTTTGGATGACACTACTACATACAAGGTAATCAGTAGGGACCCTACGGAATACTTTAAGTATAGACTCAGGGGTTGCCAGAGGCATTGTGTAACAGTCTCGGTCATGGCTTTCTTTGAGGTCATTAGGCCTTGATGATCAGAGCCAAACTTTAATCTTTTGATAACTCTGATTTAGGACCGGTATTGCGTATAGACGCTAACACACGCACGCATATACTGGAGCAAAAGCAGCCGGAAAAGTGTGAAAGATAATTAGCCAAACCACTCTATATTCATCTAGGTTTTTAATTTTTTATTTTCTTTTGGCTTAACTGGGTCTATATAAGAGGTAAGATAAAGTTGGATAATCTTCTTGGCCTAGTGTTAACGAAAGCCTTTTAAAAGAATGACACCCAGCTCTGATAATGTCCATCAAATTATGGACGAAAGCTCAGCACGTTTTCACCCGAAACGAGGGGGGAAGTCCCGTGGATTGCGTCAACATGAATATCATATAAAATCCAAACGGCTGCAGTACCACGAGATTCATCCGTCCTCATATGATGAGATCGACCAACGAATCTCTTCCTCATGCACTTTCATTCGAAATGAAGGTCCCTCTAACAATGATATCTCAGGAGATTCATCGAAACAAAGTTTCTCTTCGTATTCTATATTATATGCATGCATAGCAGAACTAGATATAAAACAGGTAAAATTCCTTCGTGTGCAATGTGATCAAACCGTTGCGACTTTTACTCCACATTCAGTTTGGCTATATCCCTCGTCAAAACCGACCAGAAAGCAATTACCGCTCAATTCAGGCAATTCGACTAGAGATCATGACTCATAGGCATTTTGCCATGGAGACTAGGCGGCCTAGTCACTGCATCGAGCCTCCCTTCTGAGCCAATCAGAACGTAGTATTAAAAGTAGCCATGAGTATTTAAGCCATAAATTCCCACGGTCGAGGCCTCTATTCGATCGCTCGCTTTGAGCCGTTGTGACTGTCATCTGGCCGAACACTGCTTTCTTGCACTTCGCCATCATCTTTGTTTTTCTACCTCCGAATCTTCGCACATAGCTCTTCTTGCCTTATAAAAGTTACTCCAGGACTTATTTTATTGTTTTACTATACATGGCCAAGGTACTCTATGCAGTAACGCGAAGCCTGAGTAAATATTTTGAGACCTCTACTAAAACAAATCATAAGGCCATCAGGCAAAATAATAAATGAGCAGTTCAAATACTTACCGGTGTCCTCCTGGGGTACCTGAGAGGCTGCCACCACTTGCAGCCTGACTAGTCTGTGAGGCAACTTCAGAACCAAGATGCTGATTGTGATGATGGTGGTGTTGATTGTGAGGTTGCGCTAGTTGTTGGTGGAATACTTGTCCAGCAGAACCGGTATTCAGTCTGCCAGAGAAGGGGCCTTGATCGGTAAATGCCATATGACTCTCATGAAACTGACCATTGGGCACCGAATATTGCCCAGTGCCCAGAGGGAAACCAGACTGCGCAGGGCTAGCATAAAAGAACACGAAGTATCATAAAGTACAAGGAGTAATATTAGTTTACTAAAGATTTGAGCCTCCTTTTAACCAAATATCTCACCGAGTGTAGATCAAAAAAAACTATAATGATCCATAAAAAAGGAAACTTGGTCCTTATAGATAAGTAAATGACCTAAGATGAAAACGTGCAAGTTTGTTTGAAGATACCAATTTTAGAGTAAGAATGCCTTTGGTCTGTGGAAAATTTGTTGATGAAAGAATGATAAACAATGTGGTAGCTCAGGAAAATTTATCCGTCAGCCTTAGGGAAACTGAGATAAGCTTAGGTCTGTCACTGAAAAAGCTACTTTAGATAATAGCATAATTCTAAGCGCAAATTCACGCTTACAGGAAAGCCTAGCTGTAATTTTTAGTCGTTTGTAGATGTTTTAACATATCTCATCAAAATTATCTATTGATGAGTCTCGACTAAATATGCAGGCGCTAAAAATGACTAAATAGAATATTTTTCGAAGGTATGAATACCAAGATGGTGTGGCCTTATGTATAAACAAAGTTTTACGACTAATAGCAAATAAGTAATATGAGATGTATTCACCCAATTTCGTTTAAGGTGATGAAGGACTGGTATAAGAATTTTCCCACAATCATATGAGTAGATCTGACGTTTCCATTGAATTTCACATGGCCTTACTTTCCCAAAAGTTGTCCTCATTCAGGGTGGACTGCAGTTTCGACCTCACATAGGTCTTATCAACACCCCCAGCGGAAGTTGAACCGTGACAGTGCATAATGTGAGCTTGACACGTTAACCACTCGCCCACATTGCCACGATTGCCTTGAGCCACAGGGAAGATGTCAATTTTAAGGAAGGCCAGGCCTTTTCCTATAGCACATTCTTTGGTAGGATTGTCGATCAAGTGAACGTATTTTTGCTATAACAATAGACTACGTTACTTATTTTTCGTATGTAAGTTGAGTTTTGAGATGACTTACATACTAAAAATAGAGTAAATAACTTGGGCATAATATATGCATTTAATTAATTTTAATAAAGAAGTTCTTTAACGCTCACTGTCGAAACAGTAAGCTAGCAAATTGAATTAATCGAGCAGGCTTTACATTATCCCTTTTTTCCAATTAATGGAACCACCTAGCCGCTCCAGCTACAATTTTAAACAACTTTCAAATAACATTTTACACTACTATGCCAAACATAAGATCAAGTTAATTTTTGCTATGTTTCACAGGTCTTAAGATTATTAAGTAGCCAGCTTTCTAAGTAAATTTTAAATTGAAAAAAACACTTTTACCTGATTTCACAAGAGCACCAGGCGATTTTAGCCTGAGTGGTCAGGTAAAAATATTAATTCTGATTCGCTAATCCTTATCATACTCGGTTTACAAGGAATAAACTAGAACTGAACTATAAAAGTGAGCAACGCTTTAATTAGAATAAGAGCAATTATATATATATGAATCACGAATTTTGCTCAAACACACTAATCTAAATTCTGCAAGAATAAAGAATATGGGATAAGATCTGCAATGGTCGCCGTAGAAAGTAATTTTATTGATAGATGTAATAATTATCAAGCTGGATTACTAAATTGAGCCAAATTGATTGCCTATCACCATATCTTAATATAAGACAATAATAGAATAAAAAATGGGACAGATAGCCAGAGTATAACGAGTGAAAGATGTAGATAAAGTAATTGCATTATCAATGTCAGGGTGAATGAATGGGCAAATACGTAAAGTAAGTTCCTGCAAAGTACCTTGGCATATTGAAGCTTTGGCGATCATTTAATAGGAACTGTCGCCGAGTCTCTGCTTCAACAAGGCCATTTTGCTTATCTTCAAATGGACCTAGCAATGACGTAGTCTGTTCTTGTTGGTGCTGGTACTGATATGGATACTGGAGCAAACTGGTCGGATCAGCGCCTGGTGGGAATTGATCGCTCCGTATAATAGACTGTTGTTGTTGCTGTTGTTGATGATAGGACGCGTAAGCGGCAGATGCTGTTTGTTGCTGAGGGTAGGAG